GCCGTTGTAGACGACTCTGGAGACAGGGGAACTGGGGGAAGCTCCGCGTGTGAGAAGGGCTAGCAGCAGATAGGGTCCCGACTCCCACACACACCTAAGACCCACCTGGTCATTGCTGGGGTGTCTGGTCCTGGTGCTCGGCTGCTGGATCCTGCGGCACTGGAGAGATCACCTTACGGCAGACAAAGGAACAAACTATGTGGCCCTGAGTCCACTGAGGACCCTTATGCTGGGCCTAAGCCTTGAGTGGCCAGCGGGCTCCAAGCACCCTGAACAGCTATAGAAGTGTTGGTGTCAGTCACAGGGCACAAAGGACACAAGGGGGCCAAACCCTGATTAAGTTAGCCAGCTCTGCCCCACAGGGCTACCAGGACCCTCTCCATGCATGCTTCCGCAACACCTGAGACTCAGCCTCCTGACTGTCCGCAGGAACTCATGGTGAGGAAACCAGCCGTCCTGGGCTCAGTGGCATTTGACAAATGACCCCAGGAAACAGACAACCAGGAGGAAGATATCCCTGGAGGAAGCTGACCTGATCAGCGACCAGGACCCTGGAATGCAACCTGTTTTTAGGCCAGAGGATTTTTGCTGCCCTGGGTGGGTGGGGTGCCTATGTTTAGGGTCAGAATCTCATAATTAACCAGCTGAGGACACACAGTCCAACACGACAAAACCAGTCATACAGGGCTAGTCCTAGGCCTGGCCTTGGTCCAGATAGGGCAACCCCAGATGCTGAAGACAGAAAAGACCCAGACAGTCCCAAGCATGCCACACCAGGGTTTCCCAAAGGCTCTTCTATGGTCAGTGATCCATCATTAACCAGTCAGACAGGTGAACACCTCGATGGTATCAAGCTAGCTCCTATAAGAGCTCTGGAAGTCTGTGCCTCTCCCCAAACCTGGCTCCTAGCCCTAACTCTGTCTTTCCCAAAGCTGCCAGCCCAGGACATCAAAGCACAAGAAAAGCCCCCTGAGGTGTGACGAGGTGGGAAGCTCCAGTTACAGGCCATGCCAGAGCAAGGCAATGCTCAGGTGTCAACCCCTGCCTTAGCTTCCAGAGTCCTACCTGCCTTCCTGCCCTGCAGATACCTTTTCTGTCCAGGATCCCTTGCTGCTTGGCAGTGGCTGTCCCCTAGGCCACTATTCTCCAGTGCCTCTCCTACCCGAGCAGCCTCAGGCTCTGGCGGTCACATCCTCCAATGCCCTCTGCCTGGGTGCCCCTGCTGGCACCAGCCCAGCTGGCAGCAGGCTTTATGTTTGGTGAAGCAGAGAAACCTGAGCATGTTTACTGGAAAGGAACGTAGTAGTGGGATAACAAATGAGCAGGGTCTCTTTTTAAAAAGGCTGAGTGCGCTGGGGTCCAGGACCAAGGCAGGTACAATGGCAGAGTCTACAGAAATGCCGAGGGTGTCTAAAAACCTTACCAAACTGCAGAGAAGCTCTGAGATCACAGACTATTGCTCAGCAGCCAGGTAAAGGGGGAGAGGTTGTCTAACAAAGGCTACCATAGAACTAGCATTTTAAGTGAGCAGCCAGGGAGAGAGCCCTACTTAAAAGATCCCATGCAGTACCCAGGCCTCTATCCCCTGGGGTTCCCACCAGGATGACAGCAAGAACAAAGGCCAGGCCAGGCCACCTCAGCCTCCACACCCAGTATTTCCTTTCCTTGCCCTGTTTTATTCTCTTTCTGTGTCGCTCTAATACCCTAGGTACACGTAAGTCATTCCTTCAACTCCACAATAATTTTTGGGTCTTTTTGCTGTTTGGTTTAACGCTAGGAAAGCCAGGCCGACTTCAAAGTCACTGTGTAGTCAAGCCAGCATCAGCTCCTGGTTCTCTTGTCTTTGACCCCAAGTGCTGGGATTACAGGCATAAACTATGCCTGGCACAACTTTACAATACAAAACCTCTTCTCTGTATCTGAAATTTGTTGTCCCAGTAATCCCGAACATCAAAGCCTACCAGCATGCTTTCCCTGTAAACCTAGGGCTTTGTGCTTGCTAGGCAAATATGCTACCTGAAGTGTAATCTCTCCCTTCTTTACTTCTGAGACAGGGTCTAAGTTACCTAGGCTCTTTGAACTTACTGTTGACTAAGCAGGCCTTGAACCTGCAACCCTCCAGCATCTGCCTCCTGGGTAGCTAGGTTATGCGCCTGTGCGCGTATCCCCTGGGCGCGTATACATGGTTTTTGTTTATTTTAGTGAACTCATAAGACACAACTAACAATGATGTTATCTTAGATGGGTGACCCTCGGTTACACATCCCTGGGCCAAGGACTCCATCAAGGCCCTGCCCTCCTGTGACTTACTTGCTCACACATCCCTGCTTCCCCTAGCTCCACTTTTCAGCGCTCCCCAGGGGAAGTGTTCTTGATCCCCAGGGAGTAGGCTGTTCTTGATCCACGTGTGTCACCAGCTTCTACACTGCAGCACCCAGCAGTCAGTTATAAACTTGTTTCCTGCTGAAAGGCTGCACTTGCTAGAGTCCTTTGAAGACCATGTCACTGCTGCCCCATCAGGGACCACAGCCCATCTTCCTCTGTAGGCACTTTGGCCATCTGCACATTTGGGTGACAAAGCCCTCTCCGTGAATAAACACAGTCCCACCTAAGGTCGGATCAAGTCTTTTTTTTTTTTTTTTTTTTTTTTTTGTTTTTCCTCCCTTCAGTTTCTCTACAGCTGCCTTCAAAAAGTCTAACAAAACCAGAGCCATTTTCTACTCCCTGATCCTCTGTCCAGGGCCAGAAGATCCCTGGACAGAGGTCCTCCATCCCCCCTGTGGCCTCCAGTCAGAGTGAAGTGGTCCTCCTCCTCAAACCAGGGCCATGTTCCATCCCAGTGGAAGCTACAGAGCACTGAGTGTGAGACAGAAAATGTGGAGACAGCTCCTTCTTAAACAAGGTGGAGACCCAGGGACTGAGAACCACACAGGGCACAGCAGACCCGTGGCCAAGGGAGAACCGCCGACGATCTCCTGGGCTGGGAACTCCTGCCACAGCTGGCCAAGAAGAAGACATCTGACAGTCCTATTTCACAGCTATCACCTAAGAGGTGATATGAATGACTCCCAGTCCCCACCCAACCCAGGGCCTTCATGGCCACAGCAACTGGATGGGTGCCAGATGCTGATTATCCTCCGAGCTTGCCTCAATTCCAGCCTGTATCCTACAGCAGGTCCCTGTCCTCCCTGCAAAGCCCGCTTCCCAGTGACACCATGGGAGACCCATGGGAGTCTGCTCTATTCCACGCAGAGTTCTTATTGAATGGGTTTATTCTATAGAACCATCGGTTTCTATGGGACCCAAGTCCTTCAGAGACTACCTGGAGGGCAAGGCGGGAAGACAGTACAGGGTTCAGGGGATCCAGAACCCATGCCAACTCTTCTGAACACATTCACTGTGCCAGGGACACAATGCTGCTGGGTGGCGGTCATACTTTGCTGCCCAACAAAGTGGCAACAAGATGGTCCCCCAGCAGAACCAAGGGTACAAAGACTGGCCACCCTTGCTCTTTTGGAATTCCTGCTGTCCAAATAGCTTCCCTTACTTCCTCTCCCCGCCCCTTTTAGAAAAGGAGGTATCACGTAGCCCTGGCTGGTTTTAGATTTCTGATCCTCCTGACCCCACCTCACAAAGTGCTGGGATTATAGATACGTGCCACCACGCCCCGCTTCAAATTTTCTAGTCCTCTCCTTCAGTGCCTTGTGTCCTTTACAGATCAGGTCATCAGACCTAGAAAGTAAAGTGTATCGACTTCACCCCCTGGACGACGAAACCACAATATCCCCCTAGATGGACCCCAGGTCCCCCTCCTCATTCTGGAGGACCTAGTCCCTGCTGCCCTGCGTGTGTGGGGTGTGTGGTGTATGTGTGTGTGGTGTGTGTGTGTGTGGTATGTGTGTGTGTGCGCCCCACACTCCCCACCCATAAGCCCACCAGCTGACCCCAGTTCACTGGGGACCTTTGTATGAGCTTGTCCTCTGCCTGAAACGTGGCATCCGGAGGTAATCACCTTCTATCTAAGATGACCACTCTAGGGCCAGGGCTGCTTCTGTCAACAAGGGCACGGTACTTCCGGCCCCCATCCCGTCCGTCCACCTAGGGGACTAGCAGCGGGCAGGCCCTGGACTTGCGCACGGCCACTGCACCGGGACAAAAGGGCCGCGGGCAGGGCAGGGCCGGGCAGGGCACCGGCTAGGACTCGGGCGCGGCCTGCGGGGCCCACAAGCAGGAAGAGCCCCGGAACTGCGGGCGCGCGTCGTCCACCCGCGGGCAGCCCGGCTAGAAAGGCTCTCGAGGCTGCCGCCACGTCCGCACCCCGCGGCGGCACCGGCCAGGCGACCCAGCGACGCCAGGGCAGAGCGGGGCGGGGCGGGGCGGGGCGGGGCGGCCAAGGTCCCGCGGAGCCCGCGGCGCCCCGCCCCGCCCCGCCGCCACCCGCGCCGCGCCTTCCTCACCTCGCCCTCCTCGCCGCCGCCGCCGCCGCCGCCGCTTCCAGTGGGCCGGCCGGAAGTGACGCCGCCGCGCAGGCGCAGACGGCGCGGGCCACGTGATCGCCGGCGCACGGGCTACGGCGAGGTCGGAGGCGCGCGAGGTCGTCCCGGAAACCCGGGGATCCGGTGCTTTGTTTTTCTTTAACCCCCCCGCATCTCTGGGAAGCGACACCGCCGGACAGGGCGGGGGCGGCCCGGGGCGCAGAGGTTCCAATCCCGGGCCTGGCGCTGCCACCAGCCCCAGCCCATCGTGCGTGGAGATGGTTTTGCACGGCACCGCGCTAGTTAGTCACCATCACAGCTTGGGAGTCGTGTTTATTGAAAAAGTAAAAAGTATCATCATTAAAAAACACACACACACACACAAAAAAAAAAAAATCCCCAAAACCTGGAGAAAAAGCCAGGCCAGGGAAATGGGTGCAGGGGAGTCGTGCCCCACCACAAGGCCTAACGGCCTGGCTGCCTCACGGGCATGTTCGGTGGGCACACCCTGGCCCCTTCACCCCCGAAGGGCGGCGCTGCCTTAGTCCATGCTGGTTCCTTTGAAGAGTTCTACCAAGTCCTTGAAGTCTGGGTCAATAAGGTCAGAGGGCAGGTCTCCGTCGTCATTGGCTGCGTCTCTGTCTGCTCCCAAAGAGATGAGGTACCTGGGGTGTGGAGGAGTGTTGGTTAAAACCCACTCGGGAAACAGAGGGCTTGAATTTTGGGGTCACCTGCTTGTTTTTTCCAGGCAGAGGGAGGAGGAAGAAACCTGACCCCTTGGAAGCTGTGGTCAGATTTTCCAGCTTGCTCTAATGTTGCAATCGGGTAGAAAGTGCCAGAATCCCTCAGAGTTGCTGCCTGCACCATCAGAGCTATATTTGGGGGCTCACTTGCCGGAGACCAATTGAAGCCTGGAACTGTATTCCACAGTCTCACCTGGCTATGTCAGGGTACCCATCACTGCAAGCGATATGCAGAGGCGTCCAGCCAGTCTCGTCCCGTTGGTGAATGTCAGCGCCATATTTGACCAGCAGCTTCACACACTCCAGGTTTCCAGAAAGGACAGCTTCATGCAGAGCAGCCAGGCCTGGGCAGGGTGGGAAGGCAGGGTCAAAGCTGTAGCCCTCTGCATAGGGTTTCCCTACCTTCTTCTAGGCAGAAGGCCAGCCCATCAGTGCTTACTCACCTGAGGGGTGGATCGTGTCCAGGGAGACTTTGCGAGCTCGAATGAAGCGCCCCACCTGTTCCAGGTCGCCTTGGCGGATGTGGTCCAAGAAGAGAACATCATTAGGGAAACGCACGCTGCGATCGGCCAGCAGCCGCCTTCGCCGCTGTCTGGGACTGTACCGGGCATAGCGGGTAGCTCTGCTGGGCATCCTGGGGGTTGGGGTGGCTATCTCTGTGGGGACCCTACGTCAGTAGGCAGGAGTGGGAAGTATGCCAGCCAGACCCGATCAGCGTGCAGGCTGTCTGGCTCGACAGCACCTCAATTCCCGCTTATATAGGTCTTGCGGGGCTATATAAAGCCGCGCAGTCATGCTTGCAGACGCGAGGGGCCGAAACCGAGCTGCTCCCCCCCCCTCCCAGAGCCCAGGATCATGTTTAGTGGCTCATCTTTCAGCACACCTGTCGCTACGTCCAGCCAAAGGGGTCAGAGCCTTCCTGGCTACTGCTCCCTGTCCGCAGCTGGACCTAGAAGGTGCCTTATAGAGGGGCAGGAAAAGGCCTGGGAGAGAGCCCATGAGAAAAGCTGTGGGTGTTGGCTCTAGGGCATCAAGAGGGTCTGAGTTTGAAGGATGGCTTACCTGTCTGCCTGATGGAAGCTGAGTCCCCTCCCCGTCTCAAGAGCGCTGATCCATTGTTGTTCAGGAGACTTTAGCACTGTCCATTTCCTAACATGTCTCTCTTGGCTTCCAGAAAGATTCCCAGAACTGCCTTCAGGATATAGCATACTGTTGGGAACTATTACTGCCCTGGCCAGGATCTCAGTCCTGCAGGCCAACTCTACACACACACACACACACACACACACACACACACACAGAGAGAGAGAGAGAGAGAGAGAGAGAGAGAGAGAGAGAGAGAGAGAGAGAGAGACACCGCCTCTGGGTTCTGAACAGTTTCCCTAGAGACTTGTGTTGAAGGTGGCATTCAGTCTCTGCCTAAGAGCCTGGGGTACATTACAGGTGGAGAAAGGGAAGGACCCATAATTAGCTATCTTGCTTTTGCAACAGCTTCAGCCAAGGTCCCAGGTGGTGCTGGGCTTGGGGGCGTGAGACTACCTGGTAGGTGGAATTCAGGAATACAGCTGGGCCAGAGAAGCTGTGGACAACTGGACTCTACAGCTTCCCCTGAATTCCTAAAAGCTAATGGTTGACTCCGTTAGGGTTACTATGACCAAGTAACACAGACCCGGGTCTCAACTCTCCAATGGGGGTTTGCTCTCATGGTTCCAGAGGCTGGAGACCAGGGTGGACCCCTGCTCAGGCTTCCCAGCCTCTGGAAGTCAGTCCAGTCCTTAGTGTTCTTTGTCTTCTAAAAACATTCGCCCAATCTCTACATTTGTCTCTACCGCTGGCTTCTGTCTATTCCTGTGTCCAAGCCCCCACCACCACCACGTTTTTTAGTCACTCTCTCTCTCTGGTTTTCCAAGCCAAAGTTTATCTATATAATGGTCCTGACTGTCCTGGGACTCACTCTGGAGACCAGGCTGGCCTCAAACTCACTGAGATCTACCTGCCTCTGCCTCTGGAGTGCTGGGATTAAAGGCATGTGCCGCCACCATCTGGCTGAACTCCCCTTTAAACTGTAAATCAGGCAAACTCCTGAGCATCCAGCAGTTCCCAGGCGCTGGGCTTTACAGGTGTGCACCACCACACTGAGCTACCCCATTAAATTTTCATTTTTACTTTTCCTCAGGAAAGGTGGATGTTTTCCAGGTTGGTCAGCCTTGAACTGAACTCATAATTCTCCTCTCTAAGCCCCCTCAAAAAAGTGCTGGCATTGCAGGCATGTGCCGTCACGTCTGGCTCAGATTTCTCTCGATAAAGACACCATCCATGGATGTTCTTAGGGTACACCCTACTCTAGTGTGACCTCACCTTTATCCATTTATACCAACAATGACTCTATTTCAAAAAAAGTCACACTCAAAAGTACTGGGAGCTGGGACACGAATTTGGGAAACACAACCTACTGTACAGATGAGATCTAGGCGTGATAGGAGGCCTGGAACTGGCAGCTCCTTGGCAGGCTGGGGGTCTGGGAAGGCCATGTGGTCAGCAGCGAGCCTTACATCACCTGGCTGCTTTCCAGCCATCATCAGCCAACATGTTACACACCCTGTAGGCGTAAAGCGAGGCCCACTGGCTGCGAGACACACCGAGTGAGAACCGCCCGGCAGTGGCGGTGTTTCCATATCCCTCGGTGCTCAGGGGCTGCTCCCTGAATTTGAGTACCCCAGAAACTTGGGACAGGCCCTGAGAGAATCTGCTCTGGGTGGTTCTGTGACCCTGCATCTATCTCCAGGGCTCAGTTCTAACTCCTGGTCTCTTGGGAGGAATCAGGGACTGTGTCTTCGAACTGTTTACCTCAAGTAGGGAAACTAAACATTCTGCACTGTAGCTGGGTGACAGAGCCCCTCCCCACTTAGATGTGAAGATTGTCTTTTCTTGTGTTGTGGAAAGTGTGGTCTGCACTCCCAGTTCAGAGGCTTATATGAAGGCATCACCAACAGAGCAGTCCTTCCTTCCACCAGTGAATGCCTCCGACGAGACAAGGTCTGGTGCATGTAGCACTCAAGGCCCTTGGCCATTTAGAGAGCAGACGTTTGTGGCTGGATGTTTCTTTCCCACAGAAGAGGTTGTTGAGTTTGGGGTTTCTGCTCGGGTGAGAGTTTAGTCCCCAAAGCTTTCCATACAGTGTTCCTGGGAACTGTGTGTTCTGAGCTGAGTTCTCTGCTGGGTATACCTAGACTTTCAGCAGGAGCCACAACAAGCTGTCTACGTCTGTTATGGTGGTTCACATTAGAACAAAGCCAGGAATTACATACCTCTGTCCCTGATTCCCTCAGCCAGTATGAAGTTATAAAGCAACTACTCTGTGAGGTTTAGAGTTTCTACTTTTTTGGAGAATGGACTAAAACATTTACACAAAGCTGGAGTGGTGACAATTTCTGTAATTATAGCACTTGGGAGATAGAGGCAAGAAGTTCAAGACTCAAAAAAAAAAAAATTATGCAAAGGTTACCCTCCAACATTTTGTAGCTCTGAAGCTTTCAGTCTTGTTGCCAGCAGGGCTGAGGTGGTGCACACCTTTTATCTCAGCACTTGGGAGGCAGAGGTGGGCAGTTGTCTGTGAGTTCGAGGCCAGCTTGTTCTACAGAGTGAATTCCAGGAGAACCAGAGTTACACAGGGAAACCCTGTCTCAAAACAACACAAAAAGCAAAAAAAATCAATCCTCTTGCCTGAGCTTTCTGAGCATTTGGTATTACAGGCTTGTATTACCAAACCCAACTGTATTTACAAAAGTTCAGAACTGGGAACACAATTCTGGGTAAAGCATTGCCTAGCAAGACAGCCAGGCCCTGTCTCAAAGGCAGCAGCACCAACAATGAAGAGAGCAGATACAAGTAACAGTAACACAGACCTGTGATCCCAGCGCTCTGCAGGCTAAGGTAGACGGTTTGCCACGAACCCAAAGCCAGTCTGAGCTACATACTGAGTTCAAGGCCAGCAGGGGTGACACAAGTCTAAGTTAAGCCAAACCAAAAAATAAATAAAATAAAGAGGAAAAAAAAAAAAAAAAGTCTGACAATGCCACCAGCAGTGGCTTGTACCCACTGCCTGGGGGCAGTTAGGGTTAGGTAATCTAGGAGAGGCAAGCAGAATGATCATTCTAAGATTAAACTTCAAAGCCTGAAGATCCCTTAGGGCAGTACTTTTTTTAAGTCCCAAACTGATGGCTTCTGGCTACCTGGGGGTTGTTGGGAAATTCCAGTCTGCTAAACTTTCACCACAGTCCCAAAGTTATTTTACTAATCCACTAATCCCAGGCAAGGGTTTAGACAGCACCCCGTAGTTGCCCTGTACAGCCTGGCTCTGGAACGCTCCATCAGCTGCCTCTGCAAAAGAGGAAAGATATCTGTGAGTCATGTTCCTCTCAGGAGCGTGTGACAGTGTGAGCTTTCTTATCCAGAGGCCAGGTCCCTGCACAGCTGGGCAGTGGCTCACAGCTGTCTCTGAGGCAGGATTTACAGCATCCCTTTCTCGCTGAGACTGGAAACTATCTGCTCACAGCTCTGGTTTTCCTTCCCTGGAAGCCCTGTGTCTTCCATTAATGGCATGTCAGCTCCAGAGCCTTGATGCACATTTTGGGGACAGAATTTGTACCCTCCCCCCATCTGATTGTACCCACTTTAAAGTGCTCATGGTCCATTGTGTCTGCGGGTCCCTGCTGAAGCTTCTGGAGCTGCAGTAGCTGGAAACCAGCCCTATGAAGTCACCAAGAGTCAGTGAAGGCAACATAAGTGGACAACTGACCTAGCTGCTGAATCAGAATGGACAGCATCAGAATGATAGCTACCTGGACAATCTGAGGATGTGACAGAGGGTCCTCTTCCCCTGACCTGTGTGCCAACTCAGATAGGGGCATCCCTGGGCTTGTATGAGCTCTTATGAAGGATGAGGTAGCCATGCAGATGGGCGCACCCCACACTCCCAGACCTGGGAGATAATCATACAGTAAGTCCTTCAGTCCACCTTAGCAGTCGGGTCTGGTACAATGGTTATATATGAGCAGGAGGGTAGCCAACCTTGACGATGTGAAGATGCCTTGCTCTGGATATCTTCAGAAAGGATGCATGCGTACATGTGTAAACACAGGCTTATAAGAATACAGGTTAGGCTCTGCCTGACCTCAGGCAGCTTGAAGCACTACTGTCAGGGCCCCCGTGACCACGCTGAGCTCTGTGAACCTTTGGCCCTACCCTGAGACCAGACAGGGCAGTGCTCCCAAAGGTGTCCATACCAAGGGAAGCCTGAGAGAGCCAACCTCAGGAGCATCACTATCCCCATTGTATATGAGGTGATAGACAGTTTTGAGCCTGGAAAAACGGCCAATTCCAGTCTTATTTTGCATCCATTGGTGTTTGCCTGCATGTATGTCTGTATGAGGTGTTGGATCCTCTGGAGCTGAAGTTACAGTTATGAGCTGCTATGTGGGCTCTGGGAAGTGAAAGGGCTCTTAACTGCTGAGCCATATCTCCAGCCCCTAGAACTAAGTCTTCCAACTTTTTGTTTGGTTTTTTTTTTTTTGACAGGGTTTTTCTGTATTGCTTTGGAGGCTGTCCTGGAACTGGCTCTGTAGACCAGGCCGGCCTCGAACTCATAGAGATTGCCTGCCTCTGCATCCTGAGTGATGGAACTAATGGCGTGCACCACCAACACCTGGCTTTTCTTATTTTTAAGTTTCATGTAGCTCGTGCTGGCTTTGAACTCATTGTGTAGCTGAAGATGAGTCTGCTTGCCCTTCTCAAGGCCTAGGATTACAGTTATGTACCTCCATGCATAGCCTGAACTCACTATGTATACCATACAGGCCTCAAAGTCACAGGTCCCAACTGCCTCTGCTTCCCAAATGCTGGGATTAAAGGTGGCACCACTATCCCCAGCCTGTTTTGTTAAGGCAGAGCCTCTGACCCAACTCCCCTGCTTCAGCCTTTCCAGTGCTAATATTCAAAGTGTGTCCAAGGCTGGAGAAATATAGCTCAACAGTTAAGAGCTCTTGCTACGGGGAGAGAACATGAGGGACCAGGAAGATTGAGTCAGGGGAAGAATGGAGAGCAAGAAAAGAGATACCACAATAGATGGAGCCATTATAGGTTTGAAGAGAAATCTGGCATTAGGAAAATGTCCAGAGACCTATAAGAATGACCCCAACTAACAATCTGAGCAATAGTGGAGAGGTTACCTCAAATGCCCTTCCCTGATAATAAGATTTTTGACTACCTTATATGCCATCCTAGAGACCTTCATCTAGTAGCTGATGTAAGCAGAAGCAGACACCCACAGCTAAACACTGAGCCGAACTCCTGGAATCCAGTTGCAGAGAGGGACAAGTGATGAGCAAAGGAGTCAAGACCAGACTGCAGAAACCCACAGAGACAGCTGACCTGAACAAGGAGGAGCTCATGGATCCCAGACTGATAGCTGGGAAACCAGCATTGGACCGACCCAGACCCCCTGAATGTGGGTCTGTTAGGAGGCCTGGGCAGTCTATGAGACCTCTGACAGTAGAACCAGGATGTATCCCTGGTGCACAAAAGGACCTTGGGAGCACATTCCCCATGGAGGGATACTCCCTTAACCTAGAGACTCGAGGGAGGGCCCAGGCCCTACCCCAAATTACTTGACAGATTTTGATGATCCCTCCTGGAAGGCCTCACCCTCCCTGGGGACTGGAGTGAATGGGGAATAGGATGGAGGGAGGTGGGAGGGGCAGACATGGGAGGATGGGAGGGAGAGGGAACTGGGATCAGTATGTAAAATAGGAAAAATATAAATAAAAAAGAAGTTCTTGCTGCTGTTGCAGAGAACCTGAGTACTCAGAAAGTAGAGGCAGACAGATCTCTGAGTTCTAGTAGAGCCTTCAAAGCTACAGAGAAACAATGTTGCGGCTGGCTGTGGTGGTGCAGGCCTGACTGTCCCCATCTCTTGAGCAGCCTGGAGTTATAAGCAGGCCATCTGCCAGCATCACTTGCAGCTTTCAGAAGACCTGATCTTAGTTCCTAGCATCCACATGGCAGCTTGTATCTGTAACTCTGAGTTCCAGTGGGTCTGATGCCCTCTTCTGGCCTTTGTGGGCACCAGGCACCCATGTGGCACATACAACATACATGAAGCCAAAATATTCATACACATAAATCTAAAAAGTTTATTTGCATTGGTGTTTGGCCTGTATGTCTGTGTGAGGGTGCCAGATCCCCTGGAACTGGAATTATAGACAGTTGTGAGCTGCCATGTGGAGGCTGGGAATTGAACCTGGGTCCTCTGGAAGATGAGCCAGTGCTCTTAACCACTGAGCCATCTCTCCAGACCCTGAAAGGAAAATTTTAAGTGGAGCTTATTTAAAGAAAAGGTCAGGCCAGGTGGTGGTGGTATAGTCCGTAAGTCCCAGCATTTGGGAGGCCGAGACAGGTGGGTCTCTTCTGAGTTCCAGGCCAGCCTAGTTTACAGAGTGAGTCCCAGGACTGCCAGTGCCACAACAGAAGAGAAACCCTGTCTCGACAAAAGTTATCGTGTATGACCCATGTGTATGCAGGCATGCACATACCACCACAGCGTGCACGACACGGGATAACTTGAGGAAGTAGATCCTATCCTACAACGACCCAGTACCCATCAACAGCATTAATACCTGCGTCCAGGTATTGATCTTAGACATAGGAGGGAAGCAGTCGGGTCAAATAGACTGTGGTGAGCAGTGATCACTATGGGTTTCTGCCTCAAAGACAATTCAAGGGGGTAGTGATGCCATCTTGACAAAAGGTCCCCATCATGCTCACCGTTCCTTTCGGTACCAGAATTTCAGCTCAGTTCCTTTGGATCAGAGTTATAAAACAGAAGTGACAATGGGTAGTAAAATTTCAACTTTATTTAGCCAATGTGTTCAATCCCAATATTATGGTAGAAATGCCTCAAGAATGGGCGTTTGATTCAGCCCGTGTCCTTGGCTGACCCCCAGTTTGGGAATCAAGGGTCCCAGTTCTGCCTCATACAGGCCACAGGCCATGCTGGAAGAAAATCCAGCAGCCATAGAGTGATGTGCACATAGCCGGCTGGTCGGTAGCTCTGATATCAAGAGTGAGAGCTGCTCAGGCCTGGCCTGGGCCCAGCAGCCAGCCACACTGTCTCTCTTCCACACGTGGGGGACCCACCCTCTGACAGGATGTTTGGTAAGTCCCAGGGTTAACCGAAAACTACAAAAGCCATGCTGCCGTGGTAACACTAGTACAAGGTAGAGAGAGACAATCCAACCCAGATCCACCCCTTCCTACATAGGGCAGGAAGGAGTTTTGAGGAGGCCTTCCACGGTGGAACAAGTGTCTCCATGAAAATGTGTCTAAAAGATGCAATGTCTCACAGATAAAATTCAAAGCGGTAGCATAAATCTCTCTAACAGGAAAGACATTACCAGTGTGAGACCCCCAAATATTTTAGCGAGCACTTGGGAAAAAAATCCACATATAAAAAGTACATCACAATTTAAAAGAAAAAATAAAAAACAAAAAACAAAAAACAAAAACAAAAACAAAAAAAAAAAAAAAAAAAAGAAAGAAAGAAAGAAACACACCAAAAGCTCTTTAAGATGAGCTGGCCTGGAGAGAGATCCCTTTCCAAAACTGAAAAGCAAAAGAGACAGGTTTGGGTGTACGTGTGTTAGATGAGTGTGGCTTCAGAAAGATTCCCTGGGTTCTGATGACGCTCCCTCCTTAGGTGAGGCTCAGGCTCCGGAGATGTGGGCTGCTGGGAGCATGGCCCACTGAGGTCTTGGGTTCGGGTGCCCAGATCTGGCTTCTCCACTACAGTTCGTCCTTTACCGCTTTCTGGTCATCATCCTCCTCCATGTCAGGCTCTAAAGCTTCTTCTAGGTCCACATCCTGGATGAAGGAAGAGATTCCAGTTAAAGTGCAAAAGCTGCAGTTTGTCAGCCCTCAGGGCGTCAAAGCCCTTAGCTCAGGACCTGGCCACTGGCACCGGTGGTGGTTCCCGCCAACGGCAGTTCTGAGTGTGGTAAGATACAGCCTGGCTTCAGAGTCAGGAACACCCTCTGAGCCCTCACGACCTCTAATTGGTCATGGCTCTGGGAGTCCACAAGGCCGCATACCTGGAAGGGACAATGGCTCCTGCACCAGTCCAGACAATGACTTTGCAACGACAGGAGACATCACTTCCTTCACTCTGCCCTACAGCTCCTTTGGGGTCAGTATTTTCTTCTTGCTTCACCAGTATTTCCAGGTGAAACTCAAGGACACATACTTCATGTCCTACCAAATCCTGACCTGCCCTGTTTCCCCCAAATTAGCAACACCAAGGGTATCTGCTGTAAACTGCTCCAGAGAGTACTACTCCTGAGAGCTAGCCCATGTCCACTCTGCAGCCTCGGACCAGCAGAGTATCCCACACAGTAACTAGGAAGTGTGTAGTACTCATAGCGCAAACACAGACCGAGCTAGTTCAAGTCCAAGTTAGTGGGGGTGAAGACCCTGTGGGGGTGGTTTCGAAAGGTACCTTAAAATCCCTGCTTTGGCTGAGCAGTGGTGATGGACACCTTTGATCCCAGCACACAGGAGACAAGAGGCAGGCAGATCTAAGTCTGAGGCCAGCCTGGTCTACACAGTGAGTTTCAGGACAGCCAGGACTACACAGAGAGAGAAGCCCTGTCTCCCTACCCACCCCCACCCCCACACTTAATACTGTCTAAGGATACACAGCTGTGCCAGCCATGCATCCACAGATGTCTCCAATCCAAAGCCTGAGCTAGGACCCAGAGCTGGTGACACTCACATCATCGTCTCCTGCACCATCCTGGCCACCACTCTCCAGGAATTTCTTGAAACCGTCTAGCGTCCGCTCACCATTATAATCAATGACCTGTAGGAAATGAGTAAAGAGGGTAGAACTGGGCCCCACCCCACCAACAGCAGCTTCCCCTCCATGCATAACAGCAGGAGCTTCTAAAGAACTGTCTGCCTAATAACCCAGCTGCGCCCGGGATGGAAAACACACCGTTCTGTCTGCATTTGCTGGGAAGAATTTCAGTGTGGGGAAGCTGTGCACTTTGACAGCCTCCACCTCATTAGCTGTTGAGTCCATCTTAGCAATGACGATATTCTCATGATCCTTGTATGCCTCTCCCAGTTTATCCCAAATCGGGGCTAGCTGCTTGCAGTGGCCACACCAGGGGGCGTCTGAAAGAGAGCAGTGCTGAGTGTCCATCCTGGACAGATCCAGATTACACTGTACGCTGTAATCTGTAAGCCCCTCGTGGGGGAAGGCTGGGAAGCCAGAGGACCCCCCACCCCCACTTACAGAATTCCACAAAGACGTTCTTTTTCTCATCAAAAGCAACCTCTTCAAAGTTTTTCCCAACTAGTACTTTTACTGGCTGTTTGTCCCAGTCTTCAGGCAGTTCCTGGCTCATCAGGTGGGGCTAGAGGAGGGGGGGGGGGAGAGAGAACAGTCAGGGACAGCTGACAGGCACTCCAATCCTAGTACAGCTGAGACACATACTGTCCTCCAGAAAAGGGCTAAGTCTTCAAGGTAGACCAACAAAATACAGATGTTGTCCTGGTGCTTGAAGCTTGGTACATGGCTAGGCTAGCACACAAGGAGCGAGTCTGTCTATGGTCTCCTAGGGTACAATGTCTAGAACAGAAAAATCTCAAACCACCACAGGCTCTGTGTTAAGAAGCTGATGCTGATGTCTTCAGACTTTGAAGGCAACTCTACAGGAAGCACAAGGCACTAGACCCGGGGTGCATCCTACTCTGCAAGGTGCATTAACTAACTGTGTCACCACAGCCCAGGCTCAACTCCATACCTTGATCTTGCCCTCCAGGAAGCGGTGGCAAAACTCTGTGATCTTCTCAGCCGTCAGTTCGTCTGATTCTGGTTTGTACTTGGTCATCTCTTCCTCTAGGGTAATGAGACGCACGGCTGGACACTCCTCCTTCTTCAGGCCAAAGAACTCAAGGATGCGCTGGTTGTCGGTGTGGTCACTGTCGATGAAGATAAACAGGATCTTGGGGGAGAAAAGGCACACTCAGATGCAATCGAGACACATGCGCATACCCCTGAAACAGCCCTGAACACCCCGAGTCTGGGGCTGCCTCAGCTGGCACACCAGCACACTCCCAGCAGGCTCCCACCCCCTGCAGCATAAACGCAATCCCTGAGGTGACCCACCTTGCCCTTGAACCCTTCAGCTGCTTTCTTGAAGTTGCCCAACTTGCCATCGTAGTCGGACACACTCTTGGGCAGGAATAGCAGAATGTGTGTCTTGATTTCACCTCCAAAAATCTTTGGGGCTGTCTGTGGGACAAGTGACAATTACTGGGTTTGAGCTGTGTGTGAGCAGTGGCCCAGGGTCCCCAGCATTCTGCCTTCACACGACTTACCTGCTCAGTGAACTCGATGACCAAAGGCAGCTGGTTGTGCTTAATGAAGTCTAGCAGTTTCTCCTTGGTGACCTCACCTTCAAAGTTGTTGCGGCCCTCATCAAACTACAGAAAGAAAAGGGGCTGTGAGCTTTGCTGTGGCCTCCAAGGACAGACAATACCATCCCCCATGGCCTCAACTGGACACAGCCGTCACCTGGAACCAGTGACAAGTCCACACCTCATGCCGGTGGCTCATGGTCCTTCCACTGCTTTGACTGAATGGCACAGGCATGAGTTAATGCTGTCTCTGCAGGTCAACGTAGTGGACATCACTGCAGAGACTGCATGCTCTACAGAACACAGGACTGAGGAGACGGAGGCCCACAAAGCGTGACCCTCCCCCACGGGGGCACAATGACGACAGATGACGACGACAGTAGAGTCCAGACCCAGGACATAGCGTGACCCCCCCCCTCCCTAGGGGCCACAATGACGACAGATGACGATGACAGTAGAGTCCAGACCCAGGACATCTGCTGGATAAAGCTACTTTACAGAAAAACAAAATGCTGGCTGGAGAGATGGCTCCATGGTTAAGAGCTGGCTGCTCTTCCAAGGGTCCTGAGTTCAATTCCTAGAATTTCCACGGCAGCTCACAACTGACTCTAACTCTACTTCCAGGGGATCCACTGCCCTCTTCTGGCCTCCAAAACACCAGGCACATACACACCTGGTGGTGCATAAACGTGTGCAAGCAAATACTTATACACGCTAAGTAAATAAATCTAAAGAAAAAAAGAACGTAATACATTTTTTGAGGGATGGTACATGCAGACGTTAAAAGTCCATCTGTGGAGTCAGTCTGTCCACCTACCATGTAGGTACTGGGGGATCAAACTCGGATCATCAGGCTTTGTTGAAAACACTGAGCCATCTCAACTACCCTAAAGCTACCCTTGAGAGGTGCTGTAGCCCAAACTGGCCTCAAACTCACAGCCCTCCCATCTCAGACTGCCTGCTGAGTGCTGGGATGACACACCACCACGTCCAGCCCAGGCTATTTCACAATCACGCTTTACTGGCGACATCTTCCCACCGTGTCCCTAGTTTGCAGCAAAGGGTGAGGGCTTTGTAGGATGTGTTCAGCACAGACCAAAGAACAGAAAGAACTCAGCTACCTCCCAACACACAGGAAGAACTGAACTGGTGAGCGAATAAACATCACTTAGTCACTAACCTGACCTCACATGGAAAATAAAGTTTCACATAAATGTTATACCAGTCAACATGTAATGATTGATATCTTATTCTGATTTCCTTAAGACAGGAGTCTCACTATATTGCCCAGGCTATCCTCTAAAGCTTGCAGTCAGATGATTCTCCAACCTCACTCAGCCTCTGGAGTAGACAGACCGCCACACATCACCAAGCTCAACCATCTACTACTGTAAAAAGAAAAACCTGGCTGGGCGGTGGTGGTGCACGCCTTTAATCCCAGCACTCAGCAGGCAGAGGCAGGCGGATCTCTGTGAGCTCTAAAATGAGTTCTCTGACAGTCTCCTAAAGCTACAGAGGAACCCCTCCCTAAACACCCCCAAAAACAAACAAACAAACAAACAAACACACACACACACACACACACACACACAAAAAAAAAAAAAAAAAAAAACCCAAAAACCAAACCCCACTCATTCATTCCCAAGAACACCTTAGGTCTACCTATTTCTTTTCTTTTGAGACAGTGTCTCGTTATATAGCACTGGCTGACCTTGAACTCTCTCTCATCTCAGCAATTCTCATGCCTTGCCCTGCAGAGAGTGTTGGGACTACACCATGCTCAGCTTTCAGCTCTAACCTCTAATATAGTAGGTATGACAAATAGAATACACACACACACAAGCTCTTGGGATCCTCAACCACCAACAGCACCACAGACTAAGGTCACAAGGCAGATAGTTATCCACCTCCGTAGCTTCGGGACAGGAGAGTTTAGACAAGGCATAGCTTCAGATGTGCTACCACATCTGGTAAATGACACAATTCTGGTTGACCTTTTTTTTTTTTTTTTTTGGTATTTGTTTTTATTTATTTTTTTGAGATACAGTTTCTCTGTGTAGCCCTGGCTATCAGAGACCAGAGATCCTCCTGCCTCTGCCTCCTGGATGCTGGGATGAAAGGCCTACCACACCACTGCCTGTCTGATGACATAATTCTTACAATGTAAATACACTATGACCAGTTGTTACATTGTATGGTTTAGGGACAAGGGAAAATAAAAGAGCCTATTCATGTTATATACAAGTGTAACTGTTTTCAGGTCTCAGTTTGTAGCCTTGGCTGACCTAGAACTTCCTACACAGACTAGGCTGGTCTCAGTTCCAGTGATTGGGGTGGGGGGTTTAAAGCCCTACGACATCATGCCCAGCCTTTTTGATTTGTTTGGTTTTTTGTTTGTTTCTTGAGACAGGGTTTGCCCTGTACTCCGGGCTGACCTCAAACTTGTGATACTCCTGTCCCAGCATGCTGAGTGCTGGGATCACAGACATGTGCTACCATGCCCAGCTCATTCCAAACACTTCTGAGCCAAACGAATCCAAGGATGTGTGAGCTGACCTCTTATCTTCTCTTACTGGCCACCTCCTACTACACTTCCCCCAAGTAACTTCAAGAGGAGGTGGGGGTTGGAGATGGCTCGGGGGTTCTACGTGTGACTGCTCTTTCAGTCAGCTCTGCTGCCTGAACTCCAGTTCTAGGGCGTCCAAATGCCTTTCTGTGCTTGTATGCACATACCTTAGCAGACACACAAACACAGACATAATTAGAACCTCTGCAAAAAGAAGAAGAGGAGCAGGTGGTTGGGGCCAGGGAAGGAAGGAATCCAGAAGTACTCATTTCAAACAACCACAGGTTCCAAGCAGGGAAATATGGACACTAGGCCGAGCCCACTGTGCTCTTACGCTCTACCTGAGCCTACAGGGTGCAGGTGTCCATGCTGTCTGCCCAAACCAGCCACAACGGAGAGGATACCAAACGGGAAATGAGTTGGTTGAGGGTTCCATCAGACGCTCTCTCCAGGTATGATGCTGAGACACCACCTTTATTGACCAACAAGGCTCTTCTTCCAGCAGAACAATGCACTCCCACCACCCCCCTCTGAGAAGTGCAAGCAAAGCTGACTCCCTGTCCTCTTGGCAATAGAGCCACACAATTTGTTCAGTCCGCTATAGTAAAAACGACCGCTGTAGAGACCTGGCTTGTGGTCTCACTCAGGTACCACTACAACACTGTCTCCGGTATAAACAACAGCATCACCAGATTAAGGCAAACATGCCAGTGGCGTTGGCTGGGTTCCCTGCTTCCAGAGCTCTTTCTTCAGTCTAGGTTCCATGTCATCTTCCAAGCAAGACAGAAAGTAAGCAGAAGCCGGCCTCATGCAGAGGAGGCTGGCCGGCCTGGCCTGACTGGGGACTATCTGGCCCTGCTAGTCTGCCTCAGTCAGTTCGCTAGGGCAGACAGGAAAATCTAGCTCATTTTTCAAGGAGGCAGAAGAATATCCCAAAGATGTGGAACAGCAGGAAGCCAGTCTGGGCAACAAAACAACCAAACAAAAAAAAACTGCAAACACTCTGCTGGACCAGAAATTCAAGGGTAGCCTCAGCTACAGAGTTCAAAACCAGCCTGGAAGATATGACTGGGGTGGGGTGGGGGTTGGGGATCAAGGGCTGGAATGATGGCTCAGTGGTTAAGAACACTGGTTGCTCTTACAGAGGTCCTGAGTTCTACTTCCAGCACCCACATTACAGATCACAACTATCTATACCTCCAGTTCCACATGGTACACAGACATACACCGTGGTCAAATACTCATACATATAAATTGTTTTTAAAAGATTAAAAACTGCCGGGTGTTTAATCCCAGCACTCAGGAGGCAGAGGCAGGCGAATCTCTTTGAGTTTGAGTCCAGCCTGGTCTACAGAGCGAGTTCCAGGACAGGCTCCAAAGCTACAGAGAAACCCTGTCTCGGAAAACAAACAAAAAAGATTAAAGACTACCAAAGAACCAAACAACACCCCCTCCCAACACATACAGCCGAACATCAGGTCTATACACGCTGTACTCTTAGAAGGCAAGAGCAATGAAGACTTTATTTTTGGTTTCTCTGAGGCTTTGGAGCCTGTCCTGGGAATCCCTCTGTAGACCAGGCTGGCCTTGAACTCACAGAGATCCACCTGCCTCTGCCTTCCAAGTGCTGGGATGAAAGGTGTGCACCACTGCCAGGCTTTGGATGAACTTTCGAATAACTCAAAGAACTTTTGTTCTGTCAAGACTTCACTCAGCACTTTTCTGCTGAATAAATTTCCTGACAAGTGTACCAAGACAACCGATAATCTGGCAACCCCACTCCCAGTGGGCCAAGGGTACCGGTCAGGTAAAGTTCTCTAAGGAAGAGGCTAGAGAAAAGGATGATGGACAAAAGCATTGATGAGTGAGGGCACTTGCATTCATAGATGTCTGCATGTCCAGTCCTCAGGAAAATCGTGAAACCCTTTCAGAGTTAGTAAACACACAACGTCAGGTGCACACAGCTCCAAACAAGCACACCCTCTCACTCATGCTTCACCTTCCCTGAACAGGCTATCCATCTGTAGACCAGGCTGGCCTCAGTCTCACAGAGATCCGTCTGCCTCTGCCTCCCCAGTGCTGGGATTAAAGGCGTGCAGCACCAACGCCAATGCCCAGCTCATAGGTAAGATTCTTATCTGGGCTGAGGAAAAAGGGCTGACAGTAGGTTCCATAATTAATATAATTAGTACCATTAGACTGGTATCTCAGCGATGATCTTAAGGGGATGGAGAGATGGCTCACCAGTTTAGAGCACCGGCTGCTTTTGTAGACGACCTAAGTTCAATTCTCAACACCCACATACAACTATGTGTAACTCCAGTTCCAGGGGATCCAACGCTCTCATGCAGCCATATAAACAGGCAAATGAATATACATTCTTAATCACAGCTAATCACAGCACTCAGGAGGCACATCCCTCAGTTTGAGGTCCACCTAGACTACAGTGTGAGTTCCAGGGCAACCAGAATTGTTACGCAGAGAAACTCTGTCTCGAAGAAAAAGGTCTTTAAGAGTAGGTATGTGGCTCAGATCTGTAATTTCAGCACTTGACATCTACTCAGGAGAACTGCTATACAATGAGTTCCAGACCAGCCAGAGCTACAGGGTAAGACCTTATCTTAAAGAGAGAGAAGATAGGAGAAGAAAGGGGAGGAGGGAGGAGGGAGAGATAGAGGTTCCAACAGTCATCTTGGTTACAGCTTGCCATAACCACCACCTTACATTGTTCAGGAGGCCTACTGCATTGACTGTCACGGAAGCTGGTCCAAAGGCCACAGTATAAAGTGATGCAGGAGAGGCCCTTGACCATCATCGTCCCATCAGGCCAGCGTGGTCCTTCCCAATGAGCAAGCAATAAAGCAACACCACCCCCTGCAGACCAACACCTGAACTGCCCTGGGCACATAGCTGTCCAAGGGCAACTCACCTTCTTAAAGAGGACTACCCCATCCTTGTCCAGCTGGTACTTGGAGAACACACCACTGTTGGACGTGATTCCAAAAGGTATGTCATCAATAGCCTCTGCTGCCAGCAAGAACTGCTTGGCAGGGTCTGACTCTATATCCTGGGAGAAGAAGGGGAAGCAGAGGTGACCGACCACACCCCCCAAGCCGACAGGACCCCTCACCCTCCGAGGACAGCACACAAGCCAAATGGAGCACTCAAGCTCTACCTTGAAGAAACCGATGACAGCCACCTCACTGGAGTCGACCAAGGCCTCGGCTGCTGCAGTGTCAGACAGGGTTGTGGCAGCAGGGCCCGTTCGCTTCTTCAGCCAGTTCACAATGTCGTCAGCCTCCCTGCCGGCTACACCCCAAAGAAACACAAGCTCCTGTGAAGCAGGGGTCACCCACCCTCCCGGGCCATCTCTTGAGCTGCGCCCCGGAACCTCAAAATAGGCTGGCCTATCCCTAGAGCAAGATTTTCTCCTACAGATTCCAGAAGAGGCTACCACGGCGCTCACCAAATAAAGAGTGCACACATCTGGAAAGCAGGGCTCCCTCTCTTAGCCACTTCTCTCCTCCAGTCTGTTTGCATTTTCCAAATTCCCTTAAACACCAGCCATTATTCAGTTCAGCTCCTGCTGCTCTCACACCAGGCTACACCCCGGAGACGTGATTAGCCAACTCCAGTGCTAGCTCTGCCACCCCTAAAACAGGCTCAACTTGGCCCCAACACCCGGGGTGGGCCAGGCATTCCGGTCTGGGGCTTGCCCTACCCACTTCCCTGATGGGTAAGAACTGGAAAAATATTGTGTGCTTGAGTGCCACTCAGAGCAGACACCGTGAGGACACAGGTGAGACACGCCTGTTCCTTGCTTGAAGTAGAGGGCGACAGATGACTCCTCCTGGGCTGCCACTTAGACTGATCAAGGCAGGTCTGCACAGTAGATTCACTGTGGTTCTACAGCACAGTGCCGTAAAGTTACCTACCCACAAAGCCCAGAGGCTAGAAGAGCAACAAAGTAACTCTGGTCATTAAAATATGTGTATGTGTGTATAAAATATATACCATGTATGTATACGTGTACACACACACACACACACACACACACACACAAACACGGTCTCTGTGTGTAGCCCTACTTGTCCTGGAACTCTTTGTAGACCAGGCTAGCCTCAAACTCAGAGCTCCACGTGCATCTGTTTCCCATTTATTTTAAGTGTTCCACTACTACCTGGCTAAAAACAATTTTTTTTTCTTTAAATTTTTTATTGGGGGGAGGCTGGGAGCTGTAGATATGGCTCAACTATTAAGACCACTTGGTGAAGCAAAGTGTAATGGCTTATACCCTTTGATCCCAGCACTTGGGATCCCAGATCTCTGGATTAAAGGACAGCCAAGGATACACAAAGAAACTATGTCTCAAAAATAAAAACAAAAAAACCAAAACAGACAAAAAGGAACATTTGCTGTTCTTCAAGAGGACATGGGTATGGCTGTCAGCACCCACAGTGGGTGGTCCACAACTGCCTGTAAATACAGTTCTAAGTGGTCTAATATCCTCTCCTGGCACAGAAGGCAAAAGACAAACATACATCCTAAGTTCTAGGAGCATGTTCAAGTGCATGCGCACTCATACACACCAAACGAAAATCAGCTGGGCAGTGGTGGTGCACGCCTTTAATCTCAGCACTTAAGAGGCAGGTGGATCTCCATGAGTTAGAGGCCAGCCAGGCTCCAAAGCTACACAGAGAAACTCTGTCTCAAAAAACCAAAAAGAAAAACACCAAAAACTGGTAAACAAAATGTCACAATGCCCAGTTTGCTCAGTGGTAGAAACTGTATCAAGTTCTTCATAAGCCAGGCAAGAACTACCAAATGAGCTGGATACTTTTCAGATGAAGTCTTACTCTGTGGACCAGGATGGCTTGGAACCCACACTAGGCTGGCTTCATACTCATGCCTCTGCCTTCCTGGTGCTGGACACAGGCAGGAGCCAACACATATAGGTTCTGGACTAGGAACTTTCTACTCCAAGAGTGAACGCATGTAAAAAGCAGAGACCACAGATAACCTAGGGAGGTAACCAGAGTGGCCAATAACGCACAGTACAAGGCTGCTTAAGGAGATATTCTATAAACCTGGGATAAACTGGTTTCAAGCCGCCCAACATGAATGGCTATTCTTTTGCTAGTAGTAGCTAAATGAATTGCCTACATCAAGGTCCAGTCTCCATGAAAATTGTTTTATTTTGGGGGTGGCTGGGTGATGGCTGGAAGCTTGGCTTTGCTGTAACAAAGTAACTGTAGGATGTTGTGACTGTGGAAGGGCCCCAAAGTGAGAAGTGTAACAAGAGTCAGGAATGCTTGGCCTGGTATTGGCACACTGTGAGTGACACTTACAAAGCCACCCTAATGCCACGCCTACTCTATCTGGAAGTAGCCACGTTCTGGAAGCACCAATAGTTCAGAGCCCCGTGTAGTCAGAGAAACCCTTGCCTCCTTTCCCTCATTGGTCAATGCCAAGATAAGCCTCAGCCAACGGGCTACTCTGCAGGGCATCACAGACATGACACTCTTCCTGTCAGGTACTCCAAAAAGGGAACTTTCTCTCCAAGGCCCTCAGATGCAAGAGCTTAAGTGGAACCCACCAGTGAACAGGGTCCTCCGGAGCCTCCGCAAAGGCTCCCTGCCTCTCGGACATGCATCTGCTTAGCTCCCAAAGCCCACACAAGCCTTAAAGGGCAGAGATACGGACACACCTGTGTACTCCTTAGGGGACGCTGTGTCTCCATTCTTGAAGAACTTGATTGTAGGGTAGCCTCGGACACCATATTGCTGAGCCAGGTCAGACTCTTCGGTGGCGTCCACCTTGGCTAGTCGAATCTCAGAGCCTTCCGCCTTCAGTTTTGTAGCAGCTTTGGCATACTCGGGGGCCAGAGCTTTGCAGTGGCCGCACCATGGGGCATCTGAAAAAGAAAGGACACTAGAAGACAGTCCTTGACCCAGGCCTACGGCTTCCCTTTCTACTTTGTACTTCCTTTCATAAAAACCTTATCAGCTCACCATGATAACCCTCTTAACGCATACATGAGACTGAGCTGATAGCTGGTGCTCTTGGGCAATCAGGACAGAGGCCACCAGTGACAAACCAAGTCCATTCCCTACTTTGCCCTGTGATCACCAACACAGCTCAACAGTCCTGACTTGTAACTTTCTACTGGCCCCCTGCAATCAGGACCAATGTATCCCTAAGATTTCCCATCAAGAATCCAGGGAAGGTTAAAAGGTTACGAGCCCAGCACCATACCTAGCAAGAACTAAGCTACTCTTTCTGGTGTGGGAATGTGACAATCTGTCAAGACAGCCTGGCAGCTGTGCTGAAGTCCACATTCTTGTAAAGAGAAGTAAGGCTTGGGATCTGGCCTACTTCCCAGTGAGGAGGATGAGGCAGGTTACACGTAGGGTGGGCACAATTAAGAGGGCTGGACCTGTTCTATCGGAATTGCTACTGCTCACACAGCCCATCCTGTTTTTTCCAGCTAACAGGGATCGGGCCATGTGGACGTCGGGCATGAAGACACCTTCCTGATTCTCAGCCTCTCAGTCACCCTCCTCCAAGGCGCCCTGAACACAACGATTTCCACTTTGGGTAGGAAGGATGCTCTCCGGAAGGCCAGGAGCGGCGGAGCTGCCTGTAGATGCTCCCAGCGAGGAGCAGCATCCCGGGACCCTCCAGCCTGCGCTCCATAGGGCAGGCGGGGCAAGTCGGGATCCACGGGTCACTGCACCCGCGGGGGGCCGGGCGCACAGGGCAGCGCTGGGTGCCGGCGGGGGCGGCCCTGAGCTGCGTGCGGTCTGCGGACCGGGGCCCCCGCCCGCCCAGGCCCGCGGCTCACTCACAGAACTCCACCAGCAGGTAGTTGTGTGCCGCCAGCGCCTCTGCGAAGTTGCTCTTCTTGAGCACCAGGACGTTGTCCTCCTCCTCCGGGGCGTCGGCGCCCACCGTGGCCACCCAGGCCAGGGCCAGGCACAGCAGAGAACGGCTCAGCATGTCGGACGTCGGGGGCGGGCGGGGCGGTTAGGTTGGCGCCGCCGGGACAGCCGAGGCGACGAGAGCGCGCCTGGGTCCAGACCTCGCCTTTATAAATCCTGGGCCGGGGACGCGCCCACACCTCCCCCTCGGCGCGCGCGTCAGCCGCCGCGCGCATGCGCCCGGCCCCCCCAGTGTGATTGGCGGAGGAGCTGAGAGGCCCGCCCCCTCCGCGCGGGGACTGGACACCCGCTCGGGGCCCTGCCGTTCTCGCCCGGGATTGGCCGGGGCGCGCGCGCGCGCGCGCGCGCACGGCGTTCCCCAGCCTCTGATTGGCTGGCAGAGGCGAACTTTCTCTTTCTGGACTTCTGACTGGAGACTTTTCCCACGCCTTCCACTCGTCTGCAAGGGCCGCGGCTTGGCCCCTGCCCGGCCCTGCGGCTCCTGATTGGCCGAGAGATGCGCGCACCCTGCGCGTTTCTCCGTCGAACGTGGCAGGGGGCGGGGCCCCGGGCCCTTGGGTGGAGCTACGCCTGCGCCTCCCAAGCCCCTCGTGTTGCATTCTGACTGGACCGCGTTTCCGTACCGGCCCCGCCCCCGCGGCGCCGCCCGGAAGCCGGGTGGCGCAACTTCCTGTCTGCGTGCGGCCCGTGCCGTCCCTGCCCGCGTCCTGGGCGCTGTGCCTCCGCCCGGCTCGGGGTCCCTCGTTTGTAGGCTGCGGCGGTTGTCGCCAGCCAGTGGGCGTCGCGGTTCCAGCCAGGTGTCCCCGCAGGCTGCGGCACGTTTTTCGCTTTCTTTGTTTGCTTGTGGAAAGAGGGTTTCTCTGTGCAGCCATTGCTGCCCTGGAGCTCACGCTGTAGACCAGGCTGTCCCCGAACTCGCAGAGATCCTGCTGCTTCTGCCTGAGTGCTGGCGTCAGAGGCGTGCACCGTCTCCGGACCGGGCGCTGCTTTTCTCTGCTTGCCTGTCCGCGGGAATGCCGCCCCGAGACCTCTGCGGAGCCGAGCGTGCTCCAGACTTCGGAAGCCCGATGGGGAAGTGGGGGAATGGCGTTTGTGTGCGTCGGTTTGAGTTGAATAATGGAGACTTCGGCTTATGTAAAACCGGCCTTTAGGGTTACATTCGAGACTCACATTTTATCTCGATTTGTTTCGTCTCCTTTGGGGTTTGGTTCTCTCTAGTCCCCCGGCTTACTTGCAACCCCTACTGGCCTCGAACTTGACGCGATACTAATAGCCCCAGCCTGCTGAGTGCTGTGGTTACAGTTGTGAACAATCCCTGTCAATGTTCCGTTCACCCTTCTTCCTTAGTTCTCAAGGCCTGTCACCAGACTTCTGCGTGCGCGCGCACACACACCCCACCAATGTTCTACTCTTCCCTTCTAGCAGCCTACGCCTTTGCACTTCTGTAACAGTCCTGGCTGCCCTGGAACTCTGTTTGCTTTGTAGACCAGGCTGGAGTCGAACTCACAAGAGATCCACCTGCCTCTGCCTCCCGAGTGCTGGGATTAATGGCATGCGCCACCACCGATGCCTAACTTCTTTTTTGCACTTTCTACTACAAAAACAACCCTGAGAGTTAAGGGTCATAAGAAAAGGGAAACACTCCCATATCATAGCAAATATATATATTGACTAATAACATACTGCTTTCAGAAGAGGTGAAAACCGAAATAGTCTTTTGGGTTTTGATAGTTTCTTTTGAGACACTGTAAGTGAGGGCATGTGTCACCTTTCCTACCTGGAACTCCCCTTAGAGTTTCTTACCTTAAAGACCAAGTTCCCTGTCCCTACTGCATCCAGTGACCCCTGGGAAACCTTCGTGTGTCTAAAGGGTAGCTTTATAGGCCTAGGAGTGCTATGCACAAATGCACTCTGAGGACACCCTTTCCTCCCCAGTCCAGCAGCAGCTGGCCTGGTGCTCATCCCTTTCTCTGCCTAACTGAAGTGCCTGGGCACACTCCTGCACAGGCCACCATCTCCCTTGACCTGTTTTAATAACCCTGATTTGGACCCAAGACAGAGTTTAGGAATCGGCTGGCTGGTATGATAGTTTTCTCTTGTAATACCAATATAAGAGAGAGTGGGGTGAATAAATTATTTGTTTTGTTTTTAAACCCCCCCCCCAACTCTGTAGCCCTATTGCCTTGGAACTCACTGTGTAGACCAGTGAGGCCCAGAACTTTGAGCATTCCTTCTGCCTCAACCTCCTACATTGCTGGGGTTACATGTATGTTCAACTACACCTGGTGAGTACCAGGAACTAAAGGACAGCATGGGTTACTTGAGACCTTATCTCAAAAAAATAAAATTTCATGGTTTTGGTTGCTTTGTCTATGGAAGGGAACAGAGTTGGGGGGACAGGTGAGTATGATAGTTTAAAGACAGCTTCCCTGCAGGGCACAGCGCAAAATACAGAAGAAATGGGTCACCTAAAGAAGGCATTCCAGATGTATTCAGATTGAAGTAGATAGGATGGATCCCTGGGGGCTGTCTGTGGCACACCCAGGATGGATAAAGCTCTCAATGTAGGCAGCTACCCCATCTGCACACCGGGGTAGAGCTGCTGGCCATGTGTGGAAAAAGAGAACCAGCTCTGAAGCATCAGTCTCCTGTATGATCTCGGAATCTTAGACTGATGAATGTCCGCCCTTTCTGCATTGGCCTTCTACACAGATTCAAACAGGCGCAACAGTGGGTTCTTGAGAAGCCAGAGGAGGCCTGAAATTCTTGGGCCCTCAGGGTTTGTTGAGTAGTCAAATAACATAGTTATTATGTCCCAACCCAAGAATGCAAGTTGGATCATCTGAACATCTATGGGCTGCAGTCTATGGGCCAAGCTGGTAACTTAGCTGTTTCCCAAGGCTTGTCCTATGCCTTCTAAGAGCAGCTCTCGCTGCAGAAGAGGTAGTTAGGACATCATAGTGTCCAGGTCATGCAAGACACACTGGCTGTTGACATATTTCTCTAGCCATTGGAAATCCATCAAAGTGCCCCTCAGTTAAAAGTATCAGCCAGGCAGTGGTGGTACACACCTTTAATCCCAGCACTTGGGAGAATCGGGCAGATCCCTGTGAATTCCAGGCCAGCCTGGTCTACAGAGTGAGTGCCAGGAGAGGCTCGTTCCCAAGCTACACGGAGAAACCCTGTCTCAAAAACCAAAACCAACCAAGGCTTACGTTATTGGTCGTTTTTTGATTATTAATGAGTTTTCAGAACCAAGCAACTCCATTTCAGTTTGTAGGCTTGTCATGTCCAGTAGAGTAACAGTGGGAAGTAGGACATGTATGTAACATGGTCCCATGGCTATAGTGGCTTTGATTGGTACAGGATGGTGCTGGACATGGAGAATGTTCCTGTAAATCAAAGTAGCTGGTGACCGTACACACCACAGAAGCTGACTGCTCCTTAACTGGTACTGCCTACAACCTATCACCTCCCTCAGGGAAGGAGGCCTGTCTGGAGGTGGCCGAGAAGCTAGAAACCTGGGAATTCCTGGGAGTCATGGGTAGAGGGAAGTTGGTGGGGAGGACCCTGTGTGTACCTGTGGCTCCTGGGTGAAAGAGATCAGGTGTTGGGACACCACACTGCAGGAACAGGTTGTATTGAGATAGGGAGATCTAGTTAGACTTGGGACCTAAGCAACACGTCACGTACTTTATTAGGCCAACCTAAGTTAGTCCGCACAGGGAGGAGCCAGAGCAAAGTCCTGCACACTTGGCACTTAGGGTCTGAGTTCACAAACCTACTAGGTAGGACAAATCTAGAGTTGTAAGATTAAGTTTCTTGGTCCAATGGGAGCTTCAGAAGCCCATGCTCAATAAACAGAATAAAAATTTTAAGGAGTCGACTGGCTGGCTGGTCCTGGGCTTAGCTGTGAGCTCAGGGAAAGTGCCTCACGCTGCTCTGGCCTCACTGAGTGCCGGTGTGAGGAACAGTTCTGGGAGGCTTGGATCAACAATTTGGCTGCTAACTGCAAGGAGTCACTGTATCAGATGTGTGCCCTGCAGAAGGGCTGGCTCTATTCTGTGGGCTTAATGGATCTGGAAAGGAAGGCCGACATGACCCTGACCCCTGGTTTATGATCAGCTGTCAGTGGCAAGACAAAAAGGCATCTCCTGAGCAGCTCCAGTAGTTTCCCCCAAAGGCAAGCGCAGGAGGGCTCCAGGAAAGCAGCTGACCAGTACCAGCTGCATGCATAGTACTTCACTGAACTTAATTAGAGGGTGCTTTTCAAAACTGGCATCAGGCCAAAAAGGGAAGTTTCTGGATGGACTCCTACTGGGTGTTCTCTGGTTACTGTACACACACATCCCTGTAAGGGCAGGGTGGAGCTTTGAGGTTACTAGATGTCTTTCATTCCATGTGCTCAGAGGCAGACAAGTAATCCTGCCTCCTTGTGGTGGCTGTAGAGGGATACGCAGGAGCTAATGCTGTATTGATTAGAGCTCAGTGGTAAGCTTCCCCGTAGTGCAATGGTCCTGTCCCTGTCTGTAGCCTTGTAGGTGCTCTAGAGAGATGTGGAGTGACCTTCCATGGTACTGACTCCTGTCCCGGCCAGCTTTGCTAAGACATGGAACACTTCCTCACCAGGCTGACCTTCACACAAGTTGTGCAGACCCGGATAAGCTTCTCAAACATCTAGGTCTTCCAGCAGGGTTCGTATTCTGTAGCCAGCTCCCGAGATGACCCGAAATGAACATATCCAAGGGTGGTATGCAGTGCTCCAACACTAAGGGCAGGTTCCTGCTAAGACATGCTGACCCAAGCAATCCTTCTCTATGTCCAGGACCAACACTGTGACACTTAACTCCAATCCCAACTGCCAGCAGTGGTATAGATTTGTAAGTCATGTCACCCCTGGGTCTAGGGTAGCAAAGATACAACAGCTGTTAGCAGCAGATAACCTTAGCCAGGGAATCTGACCTGAGGGACCGCCACCCTCCACCAGAGTCTTGCCATTCCCTCCAAACCCCACAAGTAACATAGACCACACCACCCCAGACTCCTTCAGGGGTGTTTATTTCCCAGTCAGAAGAGAAGCAGGGACAGGCTCCTCTGCCTGTTGAGGCCTAGGCCTGGCAGACACCACGCGGGGACAGGGAGGGGAGGGGAGGCACAGGAGACAGCTCCCAACTGTGTGCACTTGGTCCCACGTTTGTCCTGGCTGGGTCCAGGGAGGGCCTGCCCAGGGTTGGTGGCACCAAGAGCCAGGGCAGAGGCATCAGGCCAGCTGGCCCAAATGGAGGCAATAAATACTGACAGGCCAGGCACGAGGTTCAGGCCATAGGGCCCAGGTGAGACAACTAAGGCTCGGCTGGCTTTGTCCCTCAGGGGCTCTCTGTGGGGACAGGGGCTTTGAGTGCTGCCTACAAGGACAGAGAAGGCAGAGGAATGAGGCACCCTATCCTGCCTCCTAGATGGGGCTGGAGGCACTGAGATTTGGCAATTGACCCTCCCCTAGCTACTGGAGCCACCCCCAACCCTGGCCATTGGGAGGGGGAAGAGCTGGCCAGGCCTCCCTGGGTGGGTCACCAGGATGGGGATGGCAGACATGGCAAGGACAGGGAGACCACATGCTCATGCAGACAGGGGAGTTAGGAGTTAGCGACGGCCCCCAGCACACGCTCCACATGTTAAGGCATCATGGTTAGACAGTGACGGACAGAGATGGATGGATGACCTGGCCAGGGCGTGGTGGGGCTGGAGGACAGACAGCCCAGCCCTTCCCCGTGCTGAGCACTCTATCTCAGCTGGGGCAGAGACAAGGTGGGCTGGGCAACCCAGACAGTGTTCCATTCCATTCTAGAAGCCAGGGCCTGAGGAAGGGGAGACAGAGGGAACCTGGAGGGACACAGCAGACTGGAGGCCTGGGCTGAAACCCCTCCCCCACTGCACAGGCAGAAGCAGCAATGTGACACTGGAGACCACAGGGGCCTGCAGGCGGAGGTGGAGGAGGGGCAGACAGAAGAGCTGCCTGCTGAGTGGACCGGGAGGAGCGGAGCGGCGAGGGAGGGTCCTGTCAGCACTTTGGTTTGGGGTGGGTAGGGGTTTAGGGTGGGGCATGTCGGTCCTTCTGTCTGTCCCTCGCCCTGCCCGCCTCCCAGCTGGAGCTCAGTCCTTCCACTCCTTTTTGATGGTGAGATTCCACTCCCAGGACAGGTGGTCAGTCTTGTCATCGTCTGTGAAGCGGGACTTGATGTTGTAACTGCCCCGAGCAAGCATGCCTTTGGGGGCCTCCTCCATGGGCGTCAGGAACTCATACTCCTCTGCCCGGGGCCCATAGCTCCCAACCATGTAGTCGGTCTTGTCAACTGCAGGGCAGCAAAGGCAAGGTTAGTGGTGATGCCAGCCCTCCCCAAACCCGCGGGCTTCCGCTGAGAGCTACGCCGACTTACTTTTGACCCCTTTCCTGTATGTGTGCTGGATGTACTTCATGCCTGACACGATCTCTCTGTTCACCTGTGGGGACAGAGGACAAGGGTCAGCTGGCTCCCCGCCCTGCTCCTCTGCCCCTCTTTCCCGGGTCTCTCAAGCACTCCACTTTACCCGGAAAGAGATTTTTATCCGGTACTCCACACCTTCCTTCAACACAAACGACTGTTTCTTGAAGCTCTCCAGGTCACCTGTATTGGGGAGGAGGCACAGCTGACTGCTGGGAGGCAGTCCACCCTGGCCCCCACCCTCATTTTTGGCAGCCCCTCCCATGACACAAAGCAGGCCTTGGAGAGCACCTAGCTGCACTTCCCCTCTGTTCCACCAGAGGGCACCAGTGCAAAAAATTATTTTTAGGGGCAGCGGCTGGATGCCAGCTGGCCCCACCCAGGGACTCCAATACCCACTCACCTGTCAGGTCCAGTTCTAGAGGGCCCGGGGAGGTGCTGCACACCAAGGTCAGGCGGGTCACGATGACGTTGGGGACATTGGGGTCTGCAGAGACAGCCACTCGGCCCAGTAGGGCCTCCTTATACTTTCGAAGACTCTCATCGTCCTTGTCCAGTTCCTGGATCTCCTGGATGCTCTTCTGGGCTGGGGGCTTGTAGTTGACAGAGTGCTCATCTTCCTCATTCTCAGCCGCTATCTGGGCAAGCTGCTCAGCGGTGGGTTCCTGCTCTGCCATGCTCACCTCTAATCTGGAATACCTGTGGGTGGGGAGTGAGCGGAACTGTGACAGCCTGGATGCATTCTAACATAGAGGGACCCTGACACCTGCAGGAAATGATGGGGGTAGCTGCACCAGGGAAACTCTTATAAGGGGGAGATAGGAGGAGCTGCCACAGCCCAACTAAAGAGGCTCTCATTTGAGAGGGCTACACCCCAAGTACACCATGAAGCAACAACATGGGGACCACAGCCCGCTCCTCGGAGAAGCAAAACACCGTTCCTCCCCATCAAGGATGAGTAGCATCCGGACCAAACTGAACTGGGAGACGCAACGCTAAATCCAGTGGGTCCTGCTTCTGACCCTAGATGCCCAGGCTCTAATCCCAAGACACTCTCACTGGGTCACGGAGAAAAGTTCTCTTAAAACGGGGATGCTCTGTGTCTTAGCCACGTGCAGGACAAGGGTCTGTTCCTTCCTGCCAATGGAATACTATCCTAAGCTCAACCGTGTGGCGACCGCTTACACTCCCAAGAGTCCGAAGGAGATGCTAAATATGCAAGCCTGTCCTCCCTTGTGAGGGTCTGCAAATGCAACTTGGGGGCTGTGTGCACCGCTTGCAAATAAATCTCGGGAACCTGTTTCTGGACCCTGAGACTGAATCGTCAGTGGCGGTGCAGAACCAACCCGGACGGAAGCGCCAAGGGTGGCTTTCAGTTCCGCAGATTCCCCAAATTGTCTCCCAGAAACCCACTCGAATCCCTGCAGGCGATGCGATGCGCGGTGGTCGGGGGACAGCCCGGCCGGCTACAAGGCCGTCGTCCCCCTGAGCGGCGTCCGCCAAAGAAACAGATAGAGCGGTGGTCCTTCACCGGGAGGGTCCAGGCGACCCCGCCCGACGCGGCCAAGCGTGGCCGCGGGCGACAGCATCCAGGGCGCGGCCCGCACTTCCGCAGGGCCCGCAATCCCGGCGGGGCGGGGCGGGGCCGGGCCGGGCCGCGCGGCGGGAGGGAGCTGCGGGCGAGGCCCCGTGCCGGACCCCGCCCGCGCGGCCTGGGGTCGGGTCCGCGCCGCGCCCCGGCACCTGGCGCCCAGGCCCGGGCAGCGGCGACCCTTCGGGCCGGACCCACGAGCGCCCCCGGCCCTGCCCGGCCCGGCCCGGCCCGCCCCGCCCGCCGCCGTGGCCGCGCCCCGCCCGCGAGCGCCGCAGCCGCCGGGGTCTCCGCACAAAGCCAGCCCCCTCCCCTCGCGCGCCGCCCCGCGCCGCCCCGCGCCCACTCACCGGAGGCTCGACCGTCGCTCTCGCGCTCCCTCCCGCACCAAGTGACGAACGTCGTCCGCCGCCCGCCGCTCGGACGGTCACTTCCGGGGTCACAAGACTTCCGCTCTCGCGGGCGGGCGGGCGGGCGGCGGCGGGGGCGGGGGCGCGCCATGCGCATGCGCCGGCACGGGGGGGGGCGCCGCGCCGCCGCCATCTTGCCCGGGGCCTCGTGGGCGCGCCCCGCGTGAGATCGCGCCCCGCGCCGGGGTCCGGGGCCTCGGGCTGGCGAGGCCCGGGGCCCCTTGCGTGCCAGGGCAGCAGCGCGCGGCCGCTCTGGCGCCCAGGGTCCCGTGCTCGTGCTGCCGCCGCCCGGGCCTGCCCCATTGTCCCTGCGATCCTCCGGGCTCCGGGTAACGCAGCGCCTGGGCTGGCTGGCACGGGCCGCCTGGAGCTTTGCTCTCGGGCACCGTGTGCCCTCGGGTTCAGGCCAGGACCTCCCCCCTGTGCGCCTGGCCGCGGCCTTCCTGCTGAGTGGCTGTGCCTGCAGCCGCGCTTCCTCCTTCTGAGGATTCGGTTCCTGCTCCTCCAGGCCGGCTACTCCGCAGCGGCTCTCCCCAAGGGTCGCCTCGCGCTAAGAGGAGGCAGGAACTTGAGGGAGTCGACGGGAATTTCTATACTCGGGTCCCACCAGAGCCATCCCTGCCCGCTTAAGAGATGACATTAGGGAAACATCCGCCCCAACATTTGTCTTAACAACGTGTATGGCCTCGTTACTTCGCCCAAGCACTTGTATCCGCTGGACACACGATCGCCAGCTTCGAAGCCAGCCAGGTGTCCTTTTAAGCTCAACTATGCCATGCAGCAGTTTTGTCTAAGGAATATGATCTGCAATGCCCTAACCCTGCTCCTCTATAGCAAACTATTTAAAAACCAAACCTGTCACCCCTTGACTGCCCTCATTCTGTCACACGCACGCACACACACACACACACACACACACACACACACACACACAGGTGTGCCCAGGCGTGAATCAAGCTAGCTTTTCAGGAGACTCGAAGTCCTGCACCCGGATGGGGCTGGTTTATTGAACTCTGACCCACCCACAACTCCCTAGTTTAAAGCACTTGACTCCAAGTGCAAATCTTCCAAAGCGGCTTCTTTTTTTAACTAAAGAAAAAAAATATATATATATATATGGTTTTTCAAGACGGGGGTTTCTATATGTAGCTTTGGAATCTGCCCAGGAACTTGCTCTGTAGACCAGGCTGGCTTCGAACTCACAGAGGTCCGCCTCCCGAGCTGAGATCAAGGGTGTGTACCACCACCTGACTTTGCTGTATTTTAGATTTCTGCGTATTAATGTTTCACCTGCACGTCCATCTGGTCACCGTGTGTATGCAGTACCCACAAAGGCCAGAAGAGGGCAGCTGGAATTGGACTAGTGAGTGACCACATGAGTGAGTATTAGGAATTGAACCTGAGCTATCATCTCTCCAGCCTACCTCTGTCCCCAAGGCTTTTTCATGGGGTCTAGGTATGATGATTGACTTTTGAAGAAAAAAAAAATCAATCTTAAAAGCCCAGTAAAGGGCTGGAGAGATGGTTCAGTGGTTAACCCGAGTTCAATTCCCAGCACCCACATCGAAGCTCACAACTGTAACCGTAACTCTGATCCAGGGGATCCGATGCCCCCATAGAGACATACATGGGACAAAACACCAATGCACATAAAATATAAATAAAATATAAAAAAGCCCAGTAAATATTTTCCCCGATTGTATTTATTGTGAATTCTTTTAGTTTGCATCATAATTTGTAAGATTTGAGTGCTTAAAATATATCGATGGAGGGTGGTGGTGGTGCATGCCTTTACTACCAACACTCAAAGGCAGGCAGGTTTCTGGGAGTTAAGCAGGTCTACAGAGCTTGTTCTGGAACAACGAAGGCTACACCAACAAACCCTGTCTCAAAAAAAAGGGAGGGAGAGAGGGAGATAAAAAAAGAAAGAAGGAAAAGAAATTGACAGAGGCTAGAGAGATTGTTCTGCAGTCAAAGTCACTTGCTGCTCTTGCAGGGAAACTGGGTTCTGTGCCCAATACCCACATGAGTGTTCACAACCATCTGTGACTTGTTTTTGAGGCTGACACCCTCTTCTGGCCCTGGAAGGCACTGCATGCACATGGTGCACTTACATAAATGCAGACCACGCATAAAGATAAAACCTTTGAAAAACAAGCAGACCCTGATGGCTTCCAGGTGTAGCTCTTGTGTATAGTGTCTGCCAGCCCAGATTACAAAATCAAACCAAACAAAGGGAACATACATACATTACAATTGGTCTGGGGATTGCCCTTGTTAGCCCTTGGGGTGGCTGTAACAAAACACTATAGACTGAATGGACTACAAACATACATTTGGGAGCTGAAAGCTCTGGATCTTGGCGTTTTCTAGACTGATATCCTTAGACAATCAAGTAATCGCCTCCCAGTGGCCTTACCTCCTATGCTATTACCCTAAGGGTGAGGATTTGACCTATGAAGTTTGAGAGGATACAATCTAACCACAGTTTGCTCCTCAAACCATTCTGTGACCTGACTGAAGTCTCTTCAGGACAGTCAGTCAGTCCCCCATGGCCAGGATGGTGAAGCATGGTGAACATGTTTCTACCTTGATGTGGTCAGATACTTTTGAATGTGGGATGCTGCTCCCTCTAAATTTTTTGCGCTATTATAAAGGGAGGTTTATATTATTTTAACCTTTTCTGAAAAACCACGAAAGAGGTACCAGTGCAGGATCCGGGAACTACAATGCGCGGTGTAAGAGTGAGGGGGCGGAGCTCAACATCAGTGCAGCCATGACAGGCTGCAGACTAGCGATACTAGCAATAGCAGGCTGTACCCTGTGAATTGAGACAAGTACTGGATGATGCAGAACACTAAGGATAGCTTACCTAACTTGTGTATAGATTGCCAATGTCCTTGCAGCAACACCAATACCAATCCCTGTTTGCTCCACTCCTACCCATTCAGGAATTCAACCCTCAAGTAAATCCAAAATTCCACTATCCCCCGCCCCATCCTTTAATCCTTAAAAACCCTGGCTTAGTGTTCTCCATGGAACAGAGAGTTCAAGCTCGAGTTTGCAATAAAGGTTCGTTGCTTTTGTATAGGAACTGAGCTCAGACTCCTGGTGGTCTCTGGGGAGCTTATGACTTAGGCATAACAATAGCAGGGCAGGATCCCTATGAGAAATGCCTTAGATTAAAGCCCTCAGACCTTGGGCTCAGTGAGGTCACTTTCACAGATGTTTCTTGAGGGAAGAACCTTAGAAGTACACAGGATACAGGATTTAGTCATGAAGATGTTCAGTACAGATTTGTTTTTTGTTTTTGTTTGTTTTTGAGGAGATACTTTAGAGACAAAGTTCCACCATGCACCCCAGGCTGGCCTGAAACCCAAGATCATCTTGTCTGAGGCTTGAGAGTGCTGGGCGCCAGCTGGCAAAATGGACATGGGTAAACTTGCTGCACAAGCAGGACCACCCATGTAACGGCGAGAGAGCCTGAGTCCACAAAGCTGGCCCTGACCTCCACATTCGTGCGCACTCGATAGTGACAAATACAAATCGTAGGGCCTGGAGAGAGGACTCGATGGCTGAGAGCACACCAGCTCAAGATTCCCAGAGTCCACATTGGGAAGGTTCACAACTGTCTGTGATCCCTTCTAGGGGACTGCACTTCCTCTTCTGGCCTCTAGGGGAGCCTGCACACACACACACACACACACACACACACACACACACACACACACACACACAGTACGTTTGAACGAGAGTGGTCCTCGTAGGTTCTTATGTTTGAATACTTAGTCCCTAGTTGTGGAAAGGATTAGAAGGTGTGGTCTTGGGCTGGGGAGATGACTCAGCGTTTAAGAGCATTGACTGCTTTTCCAGAGGCCCTGAGTTCAATTCCCAGCAACCACATGGTGGCTCACAACCACCTATAATGAGATCTGGCGCCCTCTTCTGGCATAAAGGCATACATGCAGATAGAGCACTCATACATTATAAATAAATAGCTGGAGGAGGCATGTCATTGGGGGTACTTTAAGGTTTCAAAAGCCCATTTCTGTTGCGAGATATTTGAGTATACTGTGTATAAAGATAAATCACTGTGGTTGGTTTAATAAAAAGATGAACAGCCAATTTCTAGGCGCAGAGGGTGCTGGGAAGAAAAGGGGAAGAGAAGCCAGGGGACCCAAAGGAAGCAATAAAGGAAACCAAGCCATATAGAATAACAAAGATTAAAAGATATGGGCTAAGTTAAGTCATAAGAACGAGTTAAAGACGGCTGTTGGTGGCTCACGACTTTAATCCCAGAACTCAGGAGGCAGAGGCAGGTGGATCTCTGTGAGTTTGAGGCCAGCCTGGTCTACAGAGTGAGTTCCAGGACAGGCTCCAAAGCAATACAGAGAAACCCTGTCTTGAAAAAAAAAAAAATTCAAAAACCAAAAACCAAAGTAAATAAACAAATAACTGGGGATTTATGGACATTTATAGGTGGCTAGTCAGTTCTTTTCGTGGTGGGAAGCAGACAGGCCTGGTGCAGGAGCAGTAGCTGAAAGATTTATAACAAACCCACAGGCATCAGGGAGACAGGCTACTACTGCGCCTGCTGTGGGCTTTCGAAACCACAAAGCCCAGCCACTTGCTTCTTCCAAGGCCACACCTTTTCTAACAAGGCCTCCTTGTCACCTAACCCTTTCCAAGCAGTTCACCAGCTGGGTCCTAACCCTGCAAATATGTGAGCCCAAAGGGGATGTTTTCATTCAAACCACTACATCGAGCTCCAATTAAGTGCTTTGTTTTCTTTTATACACTGGCTTAGTTGGTGTTTTATTTTATTCTTCACAGCAGTAGAGAAAGTAACTAAAAGCCAGAGGTGGTGGTCCAGGTGTATCTCTATGAGTTCAAGATCAGCCAGGCCTACAGAGCTGCGGGGGTTCCATCCCTGTGAGTGTTTCTGCTGGCAGGAAGACAATCTGGGTGAATAAGAATGAAACTCAGGCCTAGAGAGGGCCTGGTGGCGCATAGTGCATGCCTTTAATCCCAGCACTCGCGAGGCAGA